CTATAGAACATTACAAAAATAACAGTTATTTTACCAGTAAACTATAACAATAGGATTACATCCACCCTTTCCTTTTAAAGTATTTGTTCTCTATTATCTCTATTTTGAAGTAAAGAACAACATGGTAGTTCTGCCAGCTTTTAGAGAGACTCTAAGATACCTGATGTGGTTTTGTTTTGTTTTGTTTTGTTTTGTTTTGTTTTGTTTTGTTTTGTTTTGTTTTGTTTTGTTTTGTTTTGTTTTGTTTTCTTAGAGATGGTCTTTGACTTTGCAAACCTGTGCTTCTTTCACTTAACAGCTTTGGACTGAGACAAATATAGGAACCCTGCTGATTTTTATTTCAACAGAGCACTCCTCTCCTTCCCACCTCATTCCCATGTAGCTCCCATTTAAAATCTAAACCTTCTTCCTGGACCTTCTTCCTTTCAGCAACTGCAGGGTAATGAAGAAATGCAATTTCTAAAATTTCACAGCATTCTTCTTTTTCTTTTATTTACTTACACTTGTCCTTCCTTTATTTTGTTCTCACTTCTTGTTTCTTATACCTAATAATTTCATTAACTACCATGTAGAAATTCAGAAAACTCAACCATTCTAAGTGAAGAAGTCACAGTCATGTCATGCATCTGACTTTATGACAGAGCATTCTCCATTTTCTAGTGGAGGTTGTTGTTTTCACTGTTAGTCTCATTTACAGCAAGACAGTACATGCATTATATAAATACTGGCAGCAGAAAACTTCCTTCACAAGGTGAAAGTGTAACCCACTCAGCAAGTTTCTGAGCATGAGTTTTCACTGGATGGCTGCTTTTAAAGTGAAAAAGAGTAATGGATTTGCCCTGTGTGCCAAAATCTACTGGTTAACATTTTCATTAAAACCGAAAGGAATATAATCTCAAAGGTACTAGACAAAAGGTGTGGCCAAGTCTTGGACTGGACATGGGGCCATATGTGGCCTCATCATACCTCAGAGGGGTACTAAAGTCTACTTGAATAAATAGACAAGCCCTGAGCTGTGCTGATTGGCATGATGCAGATGAAAATACATCAAAGATCACTACAGGACTAAGGAGCAGCTTTCTCTGAGAGAAAAAAAAAGAGAAGGAAGACAGCAAAAATGTTCACAAGATACTTCATTTCTTAGTAGATTGAACAGTGTGAAATTCAGCTAGTCCAAGAATGCACAGTATACCAAAAAAAATCTGAAAAACATGTCACTGCTGTCTGAGTTTTACCAGTGATTAGTCTGAGGGCAAAACAGAGAACTACCAGTTCTAATTTTCTGACACTCAGTAAAACAAGGTGACAATAATTTCTGACAAACTTATTATTACCCTGTGATTTTTTAAATCACTGTGAAGTCTGAGATACAGAAACTAAAATAAGTAGAATGAATGTCATAAATAATAGCTCTAGTGCACTATAACATATGTCATCTCAGCACACCTTTTTAGAGCAAAATGGTCATGAGACAGGGTAGACTGTATCTCCTATTGATAATGCATTGGGTCTTTTGATCTGTTGGACTAGGTATAATAAGCGTATTTCTGCTAACAGTACAGTAGTTGTTATTCTGACTTCAGTTTACAACCATACAAGGCAAAATGCAGTCAGTGAAATCAACATCTTTTTACTGCAGACTTGCTTAATTTCTTTCCTTGTAGGCTAAGATACTTCTTCTAGGAGAAGTGGGTGGCAAATAAAGTGGTGTTTTTTCATTATTTTGAATAAAGTTTGATTAAGTGATTTTTTGCTAACGTTAGTAAAATGTCATGACTATCTTCATAGTACAGTATGTTACTTTTCATACAACAAAAATAGTAGGAGAAGAAACCAATTCAAGCACTCAGGAAAGTCTTAAATTTTTGTAGTCGTCTTACTCCTACATTATTTAAAAGCCACAAAATAGCAATTGCATGTGTTAAAATAAACTCTCCTTAAAAAAAATTGACTATTAAGATTTTAATAAGATTTTATTTTCCACCATATGGACTATACAAAGTACCTTAACCATTAAAAAAAAAAAAAAAAGGTAGAAAAACATCTAACTGTTCTCTATTTGCCTTCTCGAGACCTTGGAAATGGCTTACCCAATTTAAACTATTTATTTTTTGTTTTAGAAAATAAATCCTTGCCTGAGCTGACAATATGAAAGCCAGGCTTCAGCTGAAAACAGATTACAACAGTCTAGCTATCCAAATCCCTTAAAATACCCAGAGATTCACACCAACAATAACCTGTTCTCCATTATGCACAGCAGTACTAGAGAATGCTGCTATGCTCAATGGAGCTTTCAGCTTCAGCCTCAAAAACACCGATGGTAGGATTACCATTGTAGCACATGGGTGCAGGGTCAAAACTTGATAAGCAGAACTTTTGCCAAAAGAAACATATATCTTGTCATAAAATAACTTGTTTGACAATTCTACTTTTGGCAAATCCAGACAGAAGAGACTGAACTTGTAGGAAACCTTGCCTTTCAAGATGTGCACAGATCATTTTAGGTAAGCAAGGAAAAACGTCAGAAAGACAATGGAAGCAGGAAAAAAGAAAGCAGGCCAGCAGTACGAAACAGGACGGCAGTTGCTAAGTGCAATAATACTGTGGTGGCTGTATGCCCTTTCATCCTCACTCTAAGAATTCCAACATTTTAAACAGCAGATATTCACATGATTTAACTCTGCACAGGTAAGTCAAGTACAGTATGAGAAGACTGCAGTTCTAAGCTGGTTTTGATCTATTAATTTAATTATGATTCTAGGTTATCAGAACTGAATAAGCACGGTACTACCTGTTGGAAACACCTATTCCTTGGTAATTACATTCAGTAAAGCACTACATCATGTGTCAAGTACCTGAGTTGAAACTCATTAATAAAAATCAGAAAGAAAACCTTTAATTAAAGCAGCAGGAAATACTATTTGCATTCAAGGAACAACTTCTGAAAGTACCATGCTAACAGTTTAAAGAAAACCACTTCTGAACAGCAACCTGATTCGGTCATTTTGAAATCCAGGTCCTACAATGCCATGAATTGATCAGTCTCCAGAATGATGCCCTCAAAATCCTGGAAAACAACTAAGATCAAGAATTGAAGTAGATGCATCATAGTCTCCAGGAAGTAATTTATAAGCCTGTGCTTTGAGCATGTGTATGAAACATGTATCTGGCTTGTCTTGCTCTGACATAAAATGTAAATACTCCAGATGAATGTACACAAAGTGTACTAAAAAAAAAAAAAAAAATAAAAATCAGAGCATTCTTCACTTGGTGCAGTAGTAAAACAAGCACTTTCTAATAATATATAGCTCTATTAAGTTTTCTATTTGGAATGATAAGCACTGAGATACGGGAGCAGGTGGTGTATCCCTAATCATCACATTAACCTTTCAACTTTCTGGATTTGTAAACCAGGGACATTTCTATTATACACACTGTGGTAATCTCAGATTACTGTTATATATTCTGATTTTGAGTTCAACCACCTCACAGGGAAGGATTTCTCATGAAAATCTGATCACACTCCTCTAAGATGTACTGGTTAAAAAGAAAACGCAGGATGCCCATATGCCAGAATGTAAGTGCTAGATGACTAATTTCTATCACCCAACAGGAGGACACCCTGGGAAACAGCTAGACAAGTCTTCCCTATCTGTGGTTCTGCAAACCCTTTGTGATTCTACACAAAGTCTGAAGTGTGCCTGAACTGCACAAATTTTGCAAGGTTTAGCGATCCTTCCAAGAAATGTTAGTCTCTTTATACTGTGACTGAAGATACCTTTCTGGGAATTAAGATGAGCAAAAATAAGTTGTGTCCCTGGAGAATCTAGTATATAATAAATCTGCAACCAGCTACCAGATTGGTGGTGTTAGGGTATTTCTAGGCAGGCCATATATATTACTCTGCAGTGTTACAGGGCTCCCCCACGGTAGCTGTATTCCTGCTTTCCTTTCCATGTATGTGAATATTTTAAAAACTTCTCTGGCAGGCTGTGCTGTTGAATTTGTTGAGCATTCACACTTGCCATATGTCATCATACTTGGGCACAAATATACACAGACATGAACTAAATAAATAGAGATTAAGTGCATCTTTGGAGGGAAGTACTAAGCTTCCACCTCAAGTCTCATCAAAATAAAATGAAACTTACAGAATGTTATCCACTGAATGTCTGGCAGAAGTGGAGAATGAAGACTGTGCTTACTTAGGTGCCAATAGCCTAGACCATGAGAAGAAACCTCCAAGACTAATTTCTTCTGCAAACATAGTAATTTTTTTTTTTTTCTTCTTGTTTTTTTTTTTTTTTTTTTCATTAAACCATTTTAGGTATGCTCCCTACTTGCTTTCTAATTGTGCATACAGCTCTCTCCTTCTTATGCACAGCTTAATCAAGACTGTCAATGAAAATAACTGCACTGAACACACCAAATAGTAAAGGATAAAATGGAAGGTCTGTAAGTGTATTTTGTTGCTTTTATATAGGATCTGGGCATTCGAATCCCTCCATTCTTTCTTTAGCTATTCAAACATGAGAAGAGAGGTTCAACTCATAAATCATATGTGCACACTTTTGTTAATCCATACAGGATAGAGCAATCTCATTCCGACATCCAAGTTCTGACTTACTGGCTGATGCTTCTTTGCAACGTGAATTCTACTGTGCAACCACACTCTAAACATTTTCCCTTTCTGCTAAGCCCTGCTAGAACTACATTACTTCCTCGAGGCTAGAATTTTCTTTTGAGCTGTACACAAGCTGTTGAACTCCAGTGGCACTTAAACCTAATGCCAGAATAACAGACCCTCACTTTTTCATCCTAAAAACTGCTATAAGAAAAGCACATGCATGCATACACATGCACAAACCCAGAGTGCATGCACATGCATGTACAGAGAAATAGATATAACTACTGTCTATATCACTCCAGCAGTTAGTAGTTAAAGATACTGGGAAGGATGGACAGAATAGAGAAGACAATCCTGAAGAGACATTTCTTACCATGTGCCACCCAGCCATGTTTACACTGATCACAGGTTCTCAGGTTAATCTTCCCTGGCTGAAAACATTCACACGTGCAATTTACCAGTGTACAGCGGATGGCCTGAAAAACGAAGCAGAAAACACACATGAATGTCTTTCTTCCTTCTTGTACAAATTTCTTGTGAGGGCTAGAAGGGTATTAACTGCACAACAAAAACCAACTTTCTAACATTCAAAGTATAGCTCATTCTTTTAAGTTGATGTTAATTTTATTTCAAAAACATACATCAGTATCCCTGAGCAATGACAACCAAAGTGCTTTATTCAATAATAACATAGTCTGTTGCCCCATTGAGATGAATACATTCCTAAACTCTTTAATAGAATTGCTCTATTTCCTTTAGGAAAAAAAAAAAAAGTGGTAGGATGAAGATTTTGTAGGTGTTCCACAAATTTCCTGGTTTTCATGAACTGCCTGAAGGACAATGATACCAGTGATGTCTTACCATAGCAGCGTATCAGCTTGATTAAAAACAAAAGTAAAATGAGGAAACAAAAACATACAAAAAGGAAAACTGCAGATCTCTCTCCTTCCCCCATGATATCCAAAGGTTATTCTCAATTTTCCTTTTTGGGGTTCATGTAATAGATAATTCTGCTACAGAAAGGAGTCACAGATTTTATGTGTTTCCAAAATAAGATAAAATTATCAAGGAACAAGAATAGGACTGGTTCATAAAACATCCCATAACTTTCCTTTGCATCTATTACTTTCTCCAGTATCTTTACCTCTTAGCTCTCCCTATTTGTCAAACATATTCCTCTGTTTTGAAAAAGATGAAACTATTCGAAATCATTGATGCTAAAACTCAAGACCCATGCCAAGATCTAAAATTTGCTTAAATAATTCTTATCTCCCTTTTAAAAAATATTTTAATAAATTCACAGGTTTACTTTGTCAGTGGCTAGCTACATCGACAGAAAAGTGAATATAAATTGAATGAGACTCTTTTTAATGTGTAACAGACACATGTTTTTAAATAGTACAGAAGATGACCCATGCACTTCAAACTGCTACTAATAAATTTATGGCATACATTTAGATGCAATTTGCATGGAGATTTCTGAGACAAAGAAGCCTATTCTGATCATTCACAGATTAACAATCTACTGTAACTACCAGAGCTGCCAGGAAAAGGTATCTCTATAGATTTAGATGCAATCAATGACTACTTGGGGGCTAAAGTGGGAGGAGGGTGATTGGTACCTATGGCCACTGAGATACTGAAGCATTATGAAGGCTCTTGCCTTTTTCAAACAATTAACAACACACACACACACACACACACACACACACACACCCCAACACACACCCCGCCCCGCCCCCCCCATACCCAAAGCAAGAATCACCTTAACTATACTGACTTAAAATTACATTCAACTTTAGCTTGACAAAGCTAAACTTCTTGGTTGCTGACAATGAAAAAGGTTCATTTATTTTAAATGTTTTATCTCTTTACTTATTTATCTGCATCAGACAGCAGTTTAAAGCCATTTATAGTTCATGGACCCATTTAAAGTCTGTATTTCTCTGACAAATTTCTGGTACAAAAGTCCCTTCTCCCTCTTATCCTATGTGCTCTTTTACTATCTTTTACTCTCAAAACCTAGTGGGGAAAAAAAATATCCTGCCCTATTATGCCTGACACTTCAGGGCCTCAGTCCCAATGTCACCTGTGCAATTACTCATTAGCTAGGTTATAAAACACTGCTGCATGTATGCGTGATTAAAAGAATTAGTAATATGAAATATAAGGGTACCAAAGAAGTGCTGACTGTGCAAGAATAATATATGTGTTTGTGGGTTATGTGAAAAAATTCTCCTGAAAGGTCCTGTTTCATGTTCAATAGTTTATTGACTCAGTAATATATCAGTTCTCCACTGGTCAGTAATGGTGTTCTTTCTCCAATATGTTCACTAATTAATGAACTCAGTAATTAATTGTACTGAAAGAAGGGCTTACAAAATGGTATTCTTATTTTACCATAAAGGTTTTCTCTTGTTCAACACTTTTTCTAAATCTCTTCACCGATGTGATACACATTTGTTGTATTTGATGTTACTTAGTCTTCCTGATGTGTCACTTACAGTATGTATAATAAGAGTAACATAGTGTATGTACACATACCAGATGAAACTGTGTCATTTGGTAGAGTTGTTTTATTAAGGCTCATCAGCATTTCCATTACAACCTTAACTATTTTTGGCCTAAAGGTTAACAGGTTGACTGTAAAAATTGGATTCAGCTTGAACATGAAATACAATGTTTCAGCCTAAGAGTTTTATTACACACATTCAAAAATGATCCATTTAGCCATTATAAATTATAAGATGGGGGCAAAAAAAGTTTAGAGGCTGCATGTTTCTTTTCCTCTTTCCTGAGTTAAAGCAAGTCTTGGTGTAAAGTGTTGCAGTAGATGAACTAATTAGGAAGAGTTCTGTCTTTTATGCATATGTCCCAAAAAAATAATGCAAACTTTTCAGAAACATGAAAATATCAGCTTGTTTCTCGAATAACTAAATCTGAAAAGTCTTTATGAAGACCAATGCATTTTTATAAAGCAATACAGATTGGTGTGAGACATTCCAAAGATAAGTAGCATGGCCAAAACATTCAGCCTGACCTTACTTGGCCACTTTTTTCTGTAAAGACTGTGTTGATGCCAGGTTGTGATCTGGTTTCAGTAGTTTCCCATCCTATCACTAAGAATCCCATGCATACTTCTAAGTGATGAGGATAACCCCTCAAGCTGCAAGATCCTCATGTGGGACTGGAAAAACTCATATTCTAGTTCGCATTTTGGCACGATCTTGGGCAAATTACTTTGTAAGCCTGATGCCTACCCTCCCTAAATAATAACCAGACACAACGATAGTAAAGTGTTGTTGTCAGGGTAAATGCAACATTAATTTTGAGGTACTCTGTAATTATGGAGGCTACTGAAAATCTGAAGCAGAATTTAACCTTTATTTCAAAGATTCATTTTTCACTTTGCTCAGTTAATCCGGAATCATTGTAACTACCAGATCACTACCATAACCAACAACAAACCAGCATAACTAGGTGGAGAGAAGAGTCAAGATGCCAGGTATAGTGTATGTTCCTACATGCACAGATGGAACATTAACATTCATTAACATAAAAGAAGGCATTGTCCTTAAAGACCTTTGCAATGCAACCAACATAGGTACAGAGCCTTTCAAGGATATGCATCTGAATTAATAACAGTATCTTTCTATTGGTTTTCAATAGCATTTAACTTAGGCATACCAGTCACTGATAGTTTGTGCAACAGGTTCAGGAATGACCCAGAACAGTGGCAGGAGATCAATGTGACATAGATTTACATAAAAAATCCAAAGCTTAATGCAGACCTTCCACTACCCAGCAGCAGGATTTTAAGGTACAGAGAGGATAAAAGTACAGTAGCTGGTTTGCTTGTAGGTAGCAGTGTGGACCAGTGTAACTGTGGTTGGCCATCTGTTACTGCTTAATATGACAGGGGTGTGTCCTGGTTTGGGCTGGAACAGAGTTGCTGTTTCTTTTTGGTATCTAGAATAATGCTGTGTTTTTGGATTCAGCATTGGGTTTGGTATGAGAAGAATGCTGACAGCACACTGGTGTTTTCAGCTGCTGCTTACATTTCAAGGACTCTCCAACTCCCTATGTCCTGCCCATGCACAAGTACACAAGAAGCAGGGAGGATGCACAGCCAGAGTATCAGACACAAACTGGCCAATGAAATATTTCATATCATGTAATGTCACGCTCACTATATAGAGGAGGGGTGGTCAGGAAGGGGCTCTCTCTCACTTCTGGGATTGCGATTGTGGGATCTTGGTATTTTAGGATCGCTAGCCGGGAACAGGCTGGGTATTGGTCAGTGGGTGGTGAGCAACTGCATCGTGCATTGCCCATTTATATTTCCTATTACTGTCATTGTTTTCATTGTATTATCATTATTAAACTGTTTCTATCTCAACCTGCGAGTCTCTCTTTACCCCTCCAATTTCTGCCCCATTCCCAGGTAGGCAGGAGGGTGGGTGAGCAGCTGTTGGGTGTCTGGCTGCCAACCAGGCTCAAACCACAACATGGTGAGGAGTGGGGATAATAAAAAATATCCTGGGTGAGTGTGCAGCAGCTAAATATTGTAGCCTTTGTTCAAACCTGCTTAAGAGTAGGTATAAAAATCCAAGGGTGTAGCAACGCTAAACTTTGCCAGAAAATGCTTCTGAAAGAGTATTGCTAGGCATTTCACAAATTATGCACTGTAATTCTGCCTTCGCAACATATTGCTAAAAAGGTTACATAATGGGACTCTCTGTACTACACTATTTTGTGGGGGAAGAAACAGAAATTTTTCCTCATTAAACTTTTCCTTAGAAACTCCTCCAGGAAAGACAGAAACAAAACAGAAGGAAAGGAAAAGAAACCAATAACTTTGCATAGCTAGCACAACAGTAAAATCAGCAGATACAGGCTCCCCCTGTACCAGCCAACAGTCAACTGTGTATGTAGAAGACAACTTGCAAGTTAAAGCCCTTAAGTAAGCAAGAAAACATGGTTTTCTACAGCTTCTTGAAGAGTGCCACTATGTTCTACCACATCAGTGGTCTGCAGATAACAGGAGTTCACAGACATTTTTATACATCTCTTCCACTGAGTTCCTAACATAATGCTTCTTGCATTTCTACCAAAATTACAGTGGCCCTTAAGGACCTGTGGAGGAAATGTACTGGATTTCAGCAGAATAAATAGTTTACACAACTAATTCCTTAAATCCTAAAGCAATGCTATTAAGGTTTAAAAACAAAATACACATATACAAAAAGAAATAAATGGTTTTATAAATGACACTGAAATGTTCAGAAATATCTCACTGCTGTAGAGTATAATCCAGAAAGCAGGGAACTTTACCGAGTATAAAAGCATGTGGACTAGTACACCTATGCACAAGTTTGTATGGCTAACATTAAAAGATATTAGACATGACTTCTATGGGTTTCCCCCAGACCAAGGATATTCATTTAATGTAGTTTGGGTGACTTAATTATATCTA